TCTGCGCCTCCGCGGCGCGGGCAGCGGGGGGGGGGACTGGTGACATGCGGGGGGAGTGTGTAGCCGTCGTGTGCTCTTGGATTCCGTGATCCCAGCATACCTCAAGCGCCTTCCTTTTTCAGTCATCGATGTGCTTTTGCCTGTGGGTTGTGGTTCTCTGGGAGGGCCTGGACCCACTCTACTTTATCCGCCTTCCTGCTCCATGGTCTTACCCATTTCTTCCGACCGACGGATAAGCATTCATGTTCCTCCTCGTCCTCCTCCTCCTCCTCCTCCTCCTCCTTCCATTCATCGTCCTCTTCCTCCGGAGCAGGTAGTCCTCATCTGATTCAGGGTTTGCCTGGTGCATGTGGTTGGGCACCCCTGGTGTGTCCGTGGTAGAACAACACGTGCCTTTTCGGAGGCCGCGCGGATTTTTTCTGGTCGGTGCCGCCTCCAGCGCCGCTAGGGCGGCCCGGCCCCTGACCCAGGAAGTCCGCTTGGACCCGCTTGCTCAGCTGATGTTCTGTTGGTAGTGGTGTGCAGGGCCATTCCCCGAAATCCGTGCGGCCTTCGACGGTTTCTGCTCATTTGCAATCCTGGCCTTCTACGGGAGGGGTCCCTGACACTTGGGCCCTCCTCCTCCTCCTCCTCCTCCTCGTCCTCCTCCTTCTCCTCCTCCTCCTCCTCTTGATCCTCCTCGATCCTCCTCTCCAATCCTCCTCTTTTCCGTCCCTCCCTCCCTTCCCCTCCTCCTCCCCGCTCCGCCCGTTCCTCCCTCCAGCAGGCGGGGTGGCGGACAAGAGGACACGTCGCGCGTCCTGGCCCCGTCTGTGGCCCTGGGATCTTCACGGCCCGGCACAGCTCTGGGGGGACCCTTGCACGAGGGCGAGTTCGGGAGGCTTCGTCGTGCCCCCCCCACGGCGCCGTGCTCTGATCACGATGGAGGATGTCTGGGGAGGAGGGGGAGGGTGATCTCAGAGGAGGAAAGGGTAATTACCCATACTGCTACCCCGCCCCCCGCGTTCCCCTTTTTCGGCCTCCCGGGAGGCCCTTCGCCACTGTGAGATTCGCCTCGAACTCCTGGTCGGAACGCACCCCTGGAGAGGTGTGGGGAGTAGCGGGATCGGTACCCTTGGGTTTCCCCATGGAGGGGTGGAAGGAGGGGGAGGAGGAGGACGGGGCGTGGGAATCGGGGAGAGGCGGAGGTGGGCAATAGGAGGTGGAAGAGGAGGGGGAGGAGGAGGAGGAGGAGGAGGAGGAGGAGGAGGAGGAGGAGGAGGAGGAGGAAGAGGGGGAGGAGGAGGAGCACTTGGGCACATCGGAGTGTGAGCCGCGCGGTCCCGCTCGCACCGATCCCTGGCGCAGTGCCGCAGGCAGGCCTGAGGAGCTCGGTCTTCGCGCTGCTCATGGAGCTAGGGACACCGGATGAGGGCGAGCCCAGTACAAGAGAAGACAGCGCCCCAGAGCAGGTCTTTTTCCGATTCCCTCGAGTCGATCCGATTCGATCTGCATGGATCCCGATGGTTTTCGATCTCTCGATGGAGGCCCACCAGCCTGCCGAGCCCTACCGCTTCGACTTCTCCCGACTCGGCTGCCGACTTCCCCCGATTCGATCGCCGATTCGACTCATCGATTCGATTCTGGGCGCCCCAGAGTGATGATGTTCCAACCTACTTCAGCCTTGATCACCAGAAATAATTTCGAGCACCAAACAAAGTACCGAAACTCTAGGGTTTTCACGTATCGGGCCCTGGGAGACACTCGTTCGACACTGTTTCGGCACTCTTTCGACACTTTTCCGGGTGCTCGTCATTATTTCTGGGACACGTCGGTGCAGGAGAACCGGCTGTTGGTGCGCGTAGGGTTTGGATGCCGCCACCTTAACAGAGGGCCCGACACGCGCACGCAGCATGATGCACAGCGCGGATTGCGGACCGCTCCAGTATGAGCCAGCGTGCCAGGCATTGGGCCCGCGGGCCTCGGCTGACATCGTCGCACCATCCTCTGCCGAAATGGCCGCTCGTCGACGTGCCATGCGCGCGAATACACATATATGTCTATATATATGTTGTATATATATATATATATATATCGAGAAGCCGAGTAAACACGCGTGCATGCGTACATGTGTACCGTCGTAGGTACACAGGTGCGCTCTCTCTCTCTCTCACTCTCTCTGCTCTCTGAACTATACTACATCCACACGTACATACATGTCTTCATCCAAAGGGCTTCGCCCTGTCCCGCTGGAACGTTCGTTCGAATGGCTGCTTGGTTGGTTTGGTTTCTGTTGGGTTGATTGGTTGGTTGGTTTGGCAAGCTTGTTGGTGTGATTGTGAGTCGACTGGCTGGCTGGTTGTCTGGCTCTCGTGGTTAAGAGAGTGGTCGGCAGCCAGTTGGCTGCTTGGCAAGCTTATTGGTTGATCGGATGGATGGCTGCCTGGCTTGTTGACAGGCTCGTCGAAAAGGGGGAAGAGTAAAGGGAAGGGACGGAACCAGGGGCGCGATGGGTTTACAGTCGGACTGAGGCATATGATCGAAGTCGGTCCGGGGAGGGTGCCCGAGTGTTCCTCGTTCTTGCTGGACGTCATTGTGCATCCTCGGAGAGGGCGGAGGGCCTCGTGGTCTTGAAAGGTGGTCTCCTGGCTCGGCCCGACTGCGTACGTAATTGCAGGCAGCTGCGCGCGGGCAGAGCCATGGCCAAACACCTCGCGCCCTGATTTTTTCCAGGGGGAGGGGGAGGGGGAGGAGGAGGAGGAGGAGGAGGAGGAGGAGGAGGAGCAGGAGGAGGAGAGGAGGAGGAGGAGGAGGAGGGGGAGGGGGTTGGGAGGTTCATTCAAGGAGGCGCCGTGGCGCCCAAAGAGCTCGGGCCCCCTGTTTTTTTCTACAGGGGACTGGCCCCAGAGCGCGAACCGAATTTGAGAAGAAGGATCGTGGCCTCTGGACCGCGAATCCCTCGCGCAGGAGGAGGAGGAGCAGGAGGAGGAGCAGGAGGAGGAGCAGGAGGAGGAGCAGGAGGAGGAGAAGGAAACCACCACGACGGGAGGTCTGTCAATGGTTTCGGCCTCCTGGGGGCCCTTCCTGGGCCCCCAGGACGGTCAATCAGCGCATCAGTATGAGAAACTGGTCCAGGGAGTGCGCGAGACTTCTGGGGATCGACGCTGTGAAGACCTCGTGACGTCGGAGCTCTGGGCAGCGCGGATCCAACAGATTGCTTCGCGAGGGATCGAATGTGGATTCAGGGCTGCTGGCCCGCGTGTTTGTGACGAACGCTTTTCGCGGCCCCATACCATCGTCTTGGCATCGCTCGGACGTGTGCGTTCTTTTTTCGTCGGGGACTCGAGGTGCATCCTGGATCACCTTGCACAAACATACCGCGTACGACATCGAAAAATGCACAGGGAATGGACGTCCGAGCGATGGCAAGTAGTAGGGACCTCCATATCTGAGAGAGCGTGATCCACCGCCGCTTTACTGTGGAAAATTCCCCCCCCTCTTCCTCCAGAACCCGCCCCCCCCCCCTCCGAAAATCCCCCCCTGCTGGACCCCCCCCCCTCCCCCGGCAAAACCCCTCCCCCCCCTAACCCCTCCCCCCCCCCTCCCCCTCGAAAACCGGGGGGGGTCACTCCCGAACCCCCCCCCCCTCGAAAACCGGGGGGGGTCACTACCGGTTCGAACCCCCCCCCCCCCCCCTCACCGCCAGCAAACGACTCCCGGTCCCTACCACGGTCCGCACCACATCCCCCCTGTTGTTCCCAGCACCACTGTCCTCACCACCACTGTCCCCACTGGTTCCACCACCGTCCCTACTGACCAGTGCCCCCACCACTGTCGCACTGTCCCCGCTGCAGAGCCAGGCTCCCATTGACCC